ACGGTTCATGGGGTCACGAAGAGTCGGACACGACTTAACGACTGAACAACAACAACAAAGAGGATGAAGTAAATTTCACTAAAACTGATGCAAGGATTTTTAAATTTACACTCTTTTAAAATATGCTTCTTTTAGGAAGTTTCTAAGTGCCTCTGGTTTAATTGCTTGAGAGAGCAGACGAAAAACTTTGTAATAATAATAATCCTGTTATGGGCCCATTTTTGTGCAACGAGAAGTGGTTATATGAAACAGTAATGCTCCTGCCTGAATATGATGAAACTGATTGTTGGAGATTGCAGCAGACGTACATGGGAGCAATTCACTTATCTTTTCTATACCACACATTTGTCATAAGAATTCACAGAACATGTTCGTGCTACCAGTCAAGATGAGAGATTGGTGAAGGAACTCCTAAAATGTTAATGTCCCCAAAATGCTGTAATTGAAGCAATCAAGAATATTGTGATTACAAGATTACTCTTGTTTGAAGGCAGGCAGCCTTGTCCATCACTGAGTTCAATACCCCCTGTTCCCATTGTTGCATTTTACTTAAACACTAAATGGATTCTTCCTATTTTAGCGCCCCTATCACAGAGCCACTATTTCCAGCATGTGGAGCCCCGAACTGGAGTAACCAGAATTCAGACTTGCATACTTTCCCTGGGGTAAATGAAAATCTGTTCCAAATTATCTTGCCTGTCCTTATAGTTTGGTTTTGGCGGACTCCAGTACAAACCTCTCTTCCATTAAAATAAAAACAATTTAGAGTGCTTACATTTAGATTGTGACAAAGCTTGAGCTATTAGACCTACCTAAAATTAAACAACAATAAGATTTGTCCACCTTTTAGGCATATTCATTTAAAGTAAAATTGCAAAATACTTTTGCCTCTCTCTGAACTTTTCCCTTGTGCATAGGCTTTCTTCCCAATTATTGCAAATTTTTAAAAACTGGATCAACAGGAAAAATCAGCCATTTTTAACCCACCATCCAGTATGTATAACGTTTTCACTTACAATGCCTTGAATTTGATTCGTGTTTCTGGCACCTGGTGGATGAGGAGTAGATGCCATTTTCTGGGCCAAAGATCGAGAGCCATACAGGGAATCAGAAGGGGACCATCGAACAAAAGCTTCTTCGCCATCGAAGAAAATAAGCTTCAGAGAAAGATCTGCCTTGGGAGATAAGCTACTTTCCTATAGAATGAATGGGAAACATAATGGAAAGTCAATCACTTTGCTTGGGATCACAGTAAATGCAGGAGCAATTTGAAAGGGAGCCAGTTTGGTCTAGAGGTTAAGGCACCAGGCTAGAAACCACTAAACTGTGGTTTCTAGTCCCACCTTAGGCATGAAAACCAGATGGGTGACTTTGGCCAATCATTCGCTCCCAGCTCAACTCACCTTACAGGGTTGTTGCGGGGAAAACAGGAGGAGGAAAGAGTATTAGGTATGTTTGCCACCTTGAGTTATTTATAAAAATAAAGGTGGGATAAAAAAAATATTTTAGAACTGCTGTAC